GCCAACAGTCCCTTTTCCTCCATTTCTCCATCCTGACTGGATTTGAAAGGATTATTTATTCAACTCCATTTAATATTATCATTATTATTTTTATTTGCAATAGGGCACATGTGTTCATGGGGTGGGGGGTGGGGAGTGAGAGGGAGAGAGAGAGAAAGTTGAGAATGCCGGATGTCAGGAGAGAGATTGAGAAAGGAAGTTGCCAGGTTCAGGGCTCGAACAATAGTTGGTCATGTGGAAGTCTGGTGCCCCAACCACCATGCCACCTACTGGCCCCATCATGTCCAGATTTTAGGCATACACACAACACATACAGACACACACACACACATACACACATGTACATTTGGCATGTATATCAAGATGCAGGGGCTCTTGGCAATGTGAGAACAGGCTCCCATAACCATTAGGTCTAGGGTCAATCCACTTGAAATCTTATATAGGACGAAAGTCAACAGACCCAATATAATATGTCACTTATCCTCATGTTTAGATGTAGTCCTAGTGCCATCAAAATTAATCCATAGTGAAAAAAATCTCATGGAATTTTCTTTTGTGGTGAAGAGGGGCTGATTGATTATAAAGGGTAACAGATCTTGAGACCAGCAGTTGGCGTAATGGCTAAGTTGCTGGACTCCCATGTATTCGACCGTGGATTGAGTCCTGGACATGGTGGCTCAAATTTACACCTGGTGCATGTGCGTGCGTGCCCAAGATCCTGAGAGGAGAATGGAGAAGGGATTGCGGCATGGCAATCCCCCCTAGTGGGTGATTTCTCACTTTTTGTCTCTCTGTCTCTCTCTGTCTTTCTGGTGAGTGCACGCACCCTGTAGCAAAAACCTCAAAAAAAAAAAAAAAAAAGAAAAAGAAAAAAAGGTAACAGATTTTTATTCAAGGATGGAAATATTTTGTCTTAATTGAGGAGTAGTAGCTACACAGAAACTAGAACAAATCAAAATGTTTATTAAAATATGTACAGTTTATTGTGTAAGTTATTCAGTGATAAAGATCATTTTAAAGGAAGAAAGACAGGGAGTCTTACATAATTCATTTGGTGATAAATGCATTTTTGGCCCCCTGAACTTCAGGATTTGGAAAGTGAG